CACCTATTGTATGCGGGTCGGGTTATTTGCGGATGGATCGATATCAATCCGCGGATTAACCACCCACATGCCCACCCCTGCCCTTCATCACTTAAAGACATCACCCTTATCTAAATAACTATGAAATAAGCATTAATCTAACTAAAGGAGTTGATCCAGTGATAATGTGCGGTTGAAAACATCCGTCACGCTCTAAATTCAAATACTAATATCAACAAATATCTAAAAAATATTTATTATTTTCCTAAAATTCATCTTTTTTTATGTACTATCAAAATGGGTCCTCAAAAAGAAGAGAAAATCCACCCTGAAATTAGAACCTATGACCTAAAAGTTGAAAATAAACAACCATATCGTTAAATAATATCCTTGTTGCAACGACTAATTTTAATTCGCATTCTCATCTGACAGTTTGGTCGAGTGATCACATGCGTCAAATTTAGGCTCTGGTCCGAAAGGACGTGGGTTCAGATCTCTCAACTATGATTTTTTGTCACCCTTATATAAAAAATTAATTAGCCATGTGAATTCCACAAAAAGAAAATTTAACTATAGTTATAGCAAGTAGCAACACATTTGTGGGGAGATTTCCTAGTAACGGTGAATTGGGTATTATATGGTATATGTTGATGTTTTTTTCCTACTCCAAAGACGTACACGTGGCACAGACAATAGTAGTTTAATAAGTTTAATTGTGGCATCATTGACCATTTCAATTCAGAACCGTTATTGTTAACCACAACAACAAATCATCAAACTTTGATTTCATTGGTGAATCCTATCCAATGATTAAAAATATTAATCTGTTATTTACACTACCATCTAAAATCTAAAACAAAATCCATCTGAAGGAACAAGGACGATGAAGGCGTAAATTAATTAATGATCGATTTCTGCGGGGTGATTATTATTAGCTGTGTATAATACGATAATAATCATGTCGCCAATATTATTCCCCCACGCTCACTAATTAATTAAGTAAGTAAAATATATTAATCAAACAATGTTAGAAACACTAGCTGTCTGGTTTTGTAAGCTTTTATAAATCTCTGTTGCTTAGTTAATGATGGGATAATCAATTCAATCATCCATTGGCTCTTCGCTTCTTCCATCCATCGTCGGATTCAACGATGTTGCAAGCAACAAGCACCACATCCAAACAGGCAGAAAAACGGGAATAGAAATACATATATATATTTAACGGTATGGGTTAGGTACAAAACTCAAGCGTTATAAAAATCACTAAATTCTCGTTTTATCACTCCCGATAGAATCATATGACCCATTGATATGATTGTATCACGGTGATATGATTTTTGTATCGGGGATGGTAAGACACGAGGTTTTGTAGGTTTTGCAGTTATGAGTTTTGTACACTAATATTTTCCATATTCAACTGCACCATATCATCCTTGGAGTGAATTGACGCCCAACGTTCATGAAAAGTTCATTCGTCATAAGAAGTTTGTTTTTGAGTCGTCTGAATGACAAGTTTCTTGTATAGAGTATGTGTCTAACCTTATGTTTGTATGTTAACACACGCTATTGTGTAGTGTAATTCGATCAAAGATAAAAGTTTACAGATGAAGAACAAGAACAAGTAAATGAATGTCACAACTTAGAAGACTCTGAAACCTCGATATTGTATCAACATAGTTCGAACTATGAGTTTGCATACATTAACCTAATATCATAACAACATGTTTTGAAAATTTAGTGTTAAGCAAAACATTGATTCACAAATTCTATTTTTTTTTTCATGTGATATGAAATTCTTCTTCTTATTATTATTATTTTATATTGGATGAGTATTAATTATTTAAGTATTAACCAATCCGATCAAGAAACGTTTACTTGTCTGTCTTTTTCGGTCCTTTTGTTTTGTGTGACTTTGGTGTCGTAATCTTGAGAGGCAATTGATTGGTTGATCGGCAGACCAAAAAATGATACTGATGAGAAGCCAATGGTAAATTAAAGCCTCCATTTCGAAAGTGGATTAAAAGATCCAAACAGAATTAAGATTTAAGAGCTAACTTTCATCTGTCTCTATTGATTAGCCTATAATTAGTAAGGGATTAATGATCCCCTAATTATAATCTCAGCTAATTATATTACTGGTGAGTGGTGATTAGGTACTGCCAATTTGGAGAACCCCCTTACGTACTGGCTGACGTGAGGGAATGGCCGACACTTATGCCTTCGGTTGTTTGGTAATTAATTGGGTTTTCTGTATTTCGGTTTCCCTCAATTCGATTCTTTTGCTAACATGAAATTAGTATTTTCCACATTATGATTAATGGGTAATTTAGACGAGGGTTTTGAAAATCGTTTTGGTAAAAAAAATGGATTCATGTTTAGCTTACCCAAAAAAAAAATGTGGAACTTGGGTTCTAATTCCCGAATCCCAAATCTGTCGTGAAACGAAAATTCCACGTTTTTCAATTGATTCATGCAAACAAACTCGTATCTATTACGAAATCAGTTTGTAGTCTACAAACCATTTTTGTGGTTTCATTAATAACAAATAAAACACAACAATTTTCATTTGCACAAGGTAAAATAGCCGAGTTTCGTGTACGTAACACTTTAATGGTAGGAGAGTACATATTATTGAAAAGTTAGAAGGTTTATGAAAACACATTCTTTTTTCCATAAGAAGAAAAGGTTAGAGCCTAAAAGTAGGCCAAAATAGAAACCCGAGGTGTAAATGCCTGTACATTGTTGTCTTCCCGTCATACTCCATATAAACAAGTTCAAGTCATATCAACAAGGTTGTACGTAGTTGGTGAAGGAGAGAGTGAGGAGAGAGAAGTTTCACATCGAGTTACAAAGGACGAGATATGGTAGAGATTCAAACATGTGAGATTGAATAATTAAATTCTCAATCTCTTTTTTTTTTTCTATGAAGTTATGCCTACAACGCATCGCCAAGTTAAAACTCTATTATTGACGCAAACAAATGGTCTGGATAGAGCAAAATAATGTACGGCCACGACATAGTTATGCATGGATTACAAAGCCGAACGACGTCTTATGCATAACCAATGTTCACACTCATAGTCGTTCCCATATGTGACACATTGGATTTAGTAATTAGTAAGAGTAAGTAATATTCTCTACTATATATCAACAAAATGTGTGGCCGTATTCGGTATTTCTACCGTATATTGGGCCCCCGTATTTGGGCCGGCAATACTCTTCCATAATTAAGTGACTAAGTGTGTGAAGGCGGAGAGAGGTGAAGAGCAATGTCTGCAGGGGACATACACTATGATCACTCTACTTAATTATGTGACGGACACATAAGCTTAATACTAATTAAAAAAATAAATCAACTTGACAAGACAAAATGAAAAAATTATACGACAGAAAAGCAATTAAAAATAAGCAACGCTGCGTTTCATTATTATTATTATTATTATTATTTCCCGTTGCATTGGCCTTATCTACCCTTCAATTTCAATGTACAATAACGTCAAAGTGAGTTACTAAAATATTAGAAATTTTAAAATAGTGGCCCCCAGTGGTCGCAAAACACGTGGCTGGATGCCAAGCGAATAAATCCACATAGCAAAGCCATGAAATTTTTTATTTTTGAGGGAGCAAAGGCATGAAATTGCTACTACTTTCCTCGGTAATTTATAGTTTGTAATATTAATAATTATTTAACATCACATTTAAATTATTTTATTATTTTGATTGATTGATTTATTTATAATCATAAATTATATATTTTTAATTTTTATCAAATAAAATACATGTTTCTAGAATAGGATTCACTGAGTTTTACTAACCTTTTATTTAATATCCATTTTGCTGATGGAGTAAAATGATTATGGATCAGTAGTTAAAGTGTTACACATGTATGATGATATGATATATAACACCAATTATGTTGTGATTAATATCATCAATGTACTTTATCACATAAGATTTGTGATTAAATTCATCAAAATAAAGTTTGTCTCGATGGTGAAATACTTTAAATTATAGTGTAGAACTGTACTAATGATTTTTTATATGTTTGGTTGTTTTTATCTACATTGACACTTAAAAATAAATAAAAAAATAAGTTAAAGTAATAAAACGACGTTGAAATATGACTGACGTGGATGCTTAAGAAGTGAGAAAATTTAAGATGAAGAATTTTAATTTGAGAAGAAGTTTATTAAAATATATTACATTGATGGTTATTATTATTATTGTTTGCTATAAGGACTTTCTTAATTTTTTTTAATCATCGTATATATCCAAAATTAAGAAAGTCTCGATTATCATAAGTACTGGTCTATCTTGTTTGATTCAAGACATACAATTTGGTCAGGACATATGATAGCTAGTTTTAATGTATTTAGCCATTCAACAATTAGATCTAAACCACAAATATGTTGTACTGTGACGATTGATTGAGACGATTAACGGTCAAATTCCTCTTCCTAGGAGTAACGCTCACTCTGCATACAACCATTTGCATATCCTCTTCACCACACGCAACAATTACTTGAACCACTGTTATCGACGGTAAATACCCTAATACTACACAAAAGCTAACTTATACAATCGAATTTAAATCATGAAACCCCGGGTAGTTAAAAAACCAAAGCATTTACCATTCACTCACAACATGATGTGGACAAAGATCTGATTTAATTAGTTGCACGCATGGCTCTTGGAATATAATTTATTCACAATTTTCTTATATCCAAATTCTAGTGTAATCAAACAACATAATTGGCTGGTTCATTCCTGTCCAATTTATCCCCATCCTTGTCACCTTCCTGCATGAGAGATTTCACCAATATATATATTTTCCCTCTCCAACACTCCCCCTCTCCCCCCGTATCAGATTGTTAACATCGAACCACAAGTTCCACACCAAAGCAAAACACCACACACCAAAAAACATCTCTTCTCATTGGACCTCAACAATAATTAGCCCTCTACTTTCCAACCAGCTTGGAGAGAGAGATCGATCGAGCAAAACAACAACTCATTGTCCAATGGAGAGGTCCGGAGTTGGAACAGGAGGAGCAGGAGGAGAACCCAACACCAACACCAAAGGCAGCAACTTCCAGTTCCCGCCGGGCTTCCGGTTCCACCCTTCCGACGAGGAGCTCATCGTCTTCTACCTCCAGAACAAGGTCACCTCCCGCCCCTTACCCGCCGCCATCATCGCCGAGGTCGATCTCTACAAGTACAACCCCTGGGAGCTTCCAAGTACGCGCATCTTTCCCTTTCTTTTCTGTCTTTCCTTTTTGGTGACGGTAAATGGTCTCTTATAGTGACCGTTTTGTCGTCCCCAAAAGTTACGAAGGTACTTGTAGTGACCGTTCACCCGTCGCTAAAATCTACAACGGTACTTTTAGTGACCAAGTTTTCGTCGCTAAAACGCCAACTTTTAGTGACCAATTTTTATTGTTGCGAAAAGCTACAACGGTACTTGTAGTGACCGTTTTTTTCGTCGTTAAAAAGCTATAAGGGTATTTTTGGGTTGACGTTGAGGGATGTTGGTGTTGTGTTGTGTTGTGGTTGCAGCGAAGGCGCTGTTCGGGGAGGAGGAGTGGTACTTCTTCAGCCCGAGGGATCGGAAGTATCCGAACGGGGCGAGGCCGAACAGGGCGGCCGGGTCGGGTTTCTGGAAGGCGACGGGCACGGACAAGCCGATACTGTCGACGTCCGGGTCGAAGAGCATCGGGGTGAAGAAGGCGTTGGTGTTCTATTCGGGCAGGCCGCCAAAGGGAGTGAAGACCGATTGGATCATGAATGAGTACAGGTTGCTGGATCCCACCATTAAGCCTTCTAGGATGAAAGGCTCCATGAGGGTGAGTAGCTAGCTCACACTTGTTTCAACCTGTAGATTGTTAATTATCGTCACCTCTACACTTTTTGTTTTTTTTTATATATATGGATGAAAGTATAATTAGCACCTCTAATATTTTTTTGATAAGTTATCACTATACTAATTGTACATAATACAATCACATTATATGTTGGAACCTTGGTACCAACAATCATTAAAAATAAAAATAAAAAGAGTCCATGTATACATACTACCTAACTTAGTTAATAACTAGAATTCTTTCCATTATGAGGTAATAATTGAATCTGAATATCAAATCTGATTATATCCTAAGTGATTAAAATTAAATGTGGATCTTATAAGTAAGATTTCATGTTCGAATCCTATCAAAGCTCCCTTAAAGGCAGCATATTCACCTTCATTTAAAACTTAATTGCTACTATTGGTTTGCTATAATGGTGGACACAAAAATGATTAGACATATACCATAAAAAAATTCAACCAAATTCAGACCCTTTTGCTTGTAATATTGTTGATTTTATGACCACTAGATTATAAGGAAGAAGAAAACATCATTTTTCCCGTTAATATAACAATTCTAAGACGGTTTGGCTCCATTTTAGACAATAAACTACTAAATCTAGTAAAAGATGTTTACATTATATTTTGGAGGGAAACCAATTATATAAATAGCATCCCTTTTTGAAATAAGATAAGCTAAAGCACTACCTCTACCAAAAGAGAAGAATAAAAATGAATAGCTTACTACTATCATAAATTCATAATATGTTTTACATTCCCCTTGTGAACGCCTTGTTTAATTATCTCTAGGCTTTGCATGATATGTGCCTTACCTGCCTGCCTGCCTACCAACCTTCCTTCCTTTCATATGCATTAGAACACACCATCTAGCATCTTTATCCGATTTAGCAATTTTCCAATAGTGGTAAATTAATGCTGTCATTGAAGAGTGATTTCCAATGCATGCATTCTTAATTCATATGACAATCCATCCTTTGACCACTTTCCTCGTCTTTTCTTGTTTATGGCTTTGTTCCTAACATCTCCTAACCTTGTTTTCTTGTATTAATTTGTGTATTGGCAGCTGGACGACTGGGTGCTGTGTCGAGTTCGACAGAAGGGTGCCATTACCAAGAACCCATTCGACCTCCAACTCGCCGGAGGCAGCCCTGTGAAGGAAACAGTCCGGTTCCTGCCAATGTCGTCGTCGTCGGAACAGGACCTCAACCCGCGCCCTTCTCCTCCGCCGTCTTACATGAACTGCGACAACGACATGATTCGAGACTGTCTCAACCAGGACTGCCGCGTCCTGGCCTCCCTCCTCGTCGGCCAGACCTTGCCCTCCATCGACGCTACAACTGCGAATAATAACGCTCGTAGTACCAATCCCACCAGTAACAACAACAACAACAACACCACTGACTTCATCGGGGCAAGCTCTCCGATAACAGTAGTCTCTTCCTACGACAACTACACCACCAGCCCCGGGATGAAGAGGAAGCTTAGCGACGATGGGGAGACGTTGATCAACGACTTCCTTTCCTCGCCAGCGCTCAAGAAGTCGAACAACAACAACGATGGAAACCAGCAGTCTCATGATCAGGAAGATGGCAGTGGTGGATTCTACAGCGAGGACGCGATGGACCCCATGATCGGGTTCCTGGAGCTGAACGAATTCGGCTTCTCTGGTAAGTATGATCTGGAGTGAATCTTGCAGCTGCAAGACAATGTGTGTACAGACAGAGGGGATGGAACGCATATCCACAAGGTTCATGGAGAAACCAGGGGGGGAGTAATCGATCGATCAACTCAAGAAATATGGCATTCTATTTATTTGTTCCCAACCCAAAACCGAATTTTGATATAATCGTACCGTACACAATACGATCCAATACAGCTATAGCTAATTGTGCTTCTGTGTCGCGCTGCAACGATCAAGTTACTAGCTCTTTCTGTGATCAAGAGTTGCATAAGTACTATATGTGAACACCATACACGTTTCTATCGTGATGATATACAGTAAAAGCAAACATCATATCTTGCCGTTACACTCTTGCTTGCTTCATTCGTCCATTTGACGCGAACTGATGAAGAATAATAGACTCCATTGAAACGGTTGGGACAGATAGCGGATCGATGGAACAGTACAATAAAAATATTACCAGTAGCAGTGAACTATGGAAACCATTTGAGTTTGCCCGATCGAGAGCTTGTAATTGATGAAGGCTTTATATATAGAGTTTAAATAATCCAAGGGCTTGATCCAAACTGGTGCTCGTGTTACAAGAGTCTCCAGAAGCGATTCAGCCCTGCAATATACTGCAACAAGTACAGAACAAGTATGTGTTAGCTAGGCAGCTTAGCAGATGAAATACAGCAAGCAACGGCAGGAGGAAATATGTTAAAGAGTTCAAATACAGTACACAGACGTACTTGTATATGTAAGAAGCGATCCCCAGGATTACGCAAAGCAGAATAATATCGATGCAGAAGTTGCGACTTGATCTCAGCTGGAGAAAGAGGGAACAAGATTAATGCTGGTTTGAGAAGAACATCATGCATGCTCAAAGATTTAGTTATGATAATAGCTGTGGAAGGTAAAAACAAAAGGCAAGAAAGATCAAATTACCGAAGTTATAGTTTGCTTCAGCCTCACATTCGTATTCCTCAGCTCAGAATTTGCTCTGTCTACCTGCAAATTACAGAAGCCATGAGCCATCGACAAGAGAATGCGTTTTGGTCTATTCCTGACGGTAATGAAGTAAATGAACAGAGAAGCTGGAGGACATATATAGAAGCTCTTACCTTTGTGTCAATCTCGTCCATTAAGGGAACTTGTCTGTCCAATTCCTGCATAAGGTCGACCGTAATAGCAGAAAAGATCACTCAGTCTATCCTTTTGAGTTGTTCACGATTAACATAAACAGCAGCAAAAGAAAAGGGATAAACTAAGGGGGAAAAGGATAGTATTGTCAGCTGATGAACTAACCTCGCCCATATCATGTGCAAGATTTTTTAGCGTGTCCAGTCCATCCGATATAACATCAAGACCTTCATCCTGTTCAAAATGACTAGTTAGTTAAAGGTCTTGAACATCACTAGCTTGCTACCACAATCTGTAGCGCGTCCATTTCAATTATGGGAGGATCGATATACCGAAACTGCAAAGGAATATATAGGTCTTACATGCCTGTTTCAGTTTTCGCCTTTCATGCTCTTGTCTGAACTGGCTAGATTCCTCGGACTGTTGGAAGAAGTCATCATTGAGATTTTCTTCTGTTGTATTGGAACCACTAAGATAATAAGTACACAGAGCATTATTATCTTGGCCTCCAAACCTGAAAACTGTATCAAAACGATCATACATCACCTGAAGTATCGAAAGTGATGTTCTTATGAGATGCAGAACCACCCCATCCTCCACCCTGGTCTGCCCCCGTCGTGGTTCCATCTGGTATGGCCTGGATCCTCTCCGGCAGCGCGAGAACTAGATCAGCACGAATCGCCTGCTCTTCCTTGGACAGCCCTTTCACCTGTTTTAGAAGCCATAGCAGGGCATTAAATGAAATCTCTCAGCCCGCATGTGATTAGTCCGAGCTTCCATTTATACAGACAAGATTCTTGTGGGGCAATCAAACAGATAAGAAAGAACACTCGTGTAGGTTAGGGCCAAGATATTCTCATCATTTGTCTTTTTCTACAAATCATGTCTATACAAAATATATTTTTTGCATGCTTTCTTTTGTCTTTCCCCAACACTTGGGGAGAAAAGAGTCTAGTGTTGTGTAAGTTAGTCCCTTCTGGGTTGCCTTGGCTACGTAAAATGTATTCTTAATAAGGAAAATCAGACCCCTCCAAATTACCTGATTACTGATCCCTAATCTGACTTGTTATCCACCTTGGCATATCCAGAAGCAGCATCGAAGTGCCATTATTATGCCAACAGGACAGACAAAGAAAGATACCAACATATAAAATACCATTTCACTAAGAGGAATTCATCTCATTATCACTGATAAACTAAACACTGATAAACTAAACAACCCATCTTCTAACGAGATGATAATGAACAAACTTCAGAACCCAGCAAGTCATAGTTTCAAGACTAATAGTCTCATTCGTTGTTTGTACTCTTGAAACATAATAAAAATATTGACAAGGCAAACTGGTGGCAAATGGAATTAGTGAGCGAGTTAACCTTCTTGCGAGCCAACTTCTGGAGCTTGGTGACTTCATCCATCAACCGGGCCTTGGTCTTGCGATTCTCTGCATTCAGAGCAGCTGTAACAGCCCTTTTGCTCTCCTTTGCTGCCCTGTCCGCTTTCTGCAGCCATCACCATCAGCACCACCATAAATCTTCTGGGATCAGATCAAATACATACATAGTACAGTTGTCTACAAAATCAATAACCATGCAGAACCCTTCCCCTATTCATGTCTTTTGGGTTTTTTTTTTTTTTTTTGGCATCAGATCAATTGCGTTACTGCTGAATGTTCGTGCATTCAACGATTCAAATTGAGCACAGGACGACGATCCAACAATGTCAGCCCGCGCCAAAAGCCTAATCTATGGAGTTTGTGGCTCGCCAATAAATGACCAACGAAAAGCATCCAAGACTACCAAATCATCTCGAGAGGGAAAATTTCGATAAATTAGAAGGGGAAAAAACAGAGCAAAATTGGGGGGAAATGAGGCAGGGGAAAGGGAGCGTACGCCCATTGCGGCGTCGATATCAGCCTCGACGGTGGCGTAGAGGCGGGCGAAGACATCGTCGCCGTAGGCATTGAGCTCCCGCTGCTTCTCGATGTCGTACTTGTCATACCTCTTGCAGATCTCATCGACTCGGAAGATAATGTCGATCACGCTCATCTTTTATCTCCAGCCCTGCTGGCGTGTCGAAATCTCGAAGTTACCTCTCGCCGGTGCACAGAGAATGTGGAGGAAAGAACGAACGGAAAGGGAAACCCGCGCCGCGACAGAAGAGAGGGAGTTTTTTCTTTTGCGTTAGGAGGATCTCTAATTTTGCCATGTTTGCTTGTTTTTCTGAGTGCGATTTCCTCGCTCGAGGGTCTTTTGCTTGCAGTGCTCGCTGGCGAAGCGGGAAGGAGAAGACCACAATTTGCTTGGTAACGGCGACAATGGCGGAGGGCGAAAGTATAACTTCCCGGCTCCCGCTATTCGTTAGGCAAGTTCGGTGGGTTTGTCGTGGCAATTGTTTTTCTTTTTAGATTTTTTTCTTAATATATATAGGTTTAGACTAGCGTACGTTAGACTACCGTACGCCCGTTTGAGTTTTGCTATTTAGATCATGAATTAACCGGAGTTTTGGGCATGATACTATACCCTAACCACTAATGGATAAACCCCAGTCCCTAGTTTTCTAACCCAAATTATGAGATTCGTTTAATCTTGAAATGAAAATCAACAATAATTTCGACGAATCAAAACCGTTGATTTTCATTTCAAGATTAAATGAATATTATGCTTTGGGTTAGTGAATTGCGGACTGGGGTTCACCCATTAGGGGTTAGGGTATAATATCATGCCCCAAACTCCGGTTAATTCATTGTCTAAATAGCAAAACTCAACGGGCGTACGGTAGACTAGGGTACATCCGGGCGTACGCTAGCCTTTGCCATATATATATACTAGATTGAAACCTGGCCAGTTTCCGGATAAATTTCACAATTGTTAAAACAATAATAGTAACGGTATGAATTAAAAATACTTTTTGTTGGTAACTTACATAATATAAATTATTCTATTAAAAATAACCTACCACTTTAGAATTTTTTTCACATTTTAACCCATGCAATTATGCAAAGAAGTGAAATCGTACCAAAATTATATAACCACACTTTATTTAACTATTTTGCATTAAAATTATTGCAAAATTTGTCGAGACTTACTTTAATGTCAGTTGTCCCCTTGTCACATTTGAATTTGATAATGATAATTATTAAAGTTTTGAATTTATATTTTATCCTTTTTGTGATGATACCAATTTTCTCTCAAAGTTTTTCTTTTTTTACAAAATGAAAAATCAGAATTATTCAATTACTTGAAAAATGAAAAATTGACATTATAGGATTTTCCAATAATCAGATTGAGTCTTCTGTGAAAGTTCTTTTGGCTACTTTGTCATTAGCCCGCCATCAACAACATCATTGTCTCAACCATTAACAACATAATTATCTCCATCGTCGAATCTACTATTTCCATTGTTACAATATGAATTCACTTATGAGATTTGTAATTTTCTACTCTCTCATTCATGTGCTTTTGACTCAATTACCTCAATTAGTAGGAGAAGAGGAGGATGTCCTCTTGCCACTATTTTGAAATAGTTTCTCAACATCATACAACTTCAAAAAATCTTAGTTCTTCATAATTTAAAACTATAAAATCATATATATTCCAAAAAAATTCTTCACAATATTAAGTTAGATTGGGATTTACTATTCAATTAAATAGTATAATTACATATGACCAAAACCCCTCCATCTTTGCAACATTGTTTGCCCTTCACTTTATAATTTTGCGTCTTTTTTACTCCCTTCACTGCCTTGCATAAAAGCGTGTAACCAATTCTAATTAGGTTATAATATCAACAATTAGTAAACATATTATTTTCCATCAATATAACTCTTACAATTAAAGAAGTTAAATGTCTTACGTGAAATTAATAGGCACAATCTTAATAATAATCGAGATAAAAACATATTTAGTGGCTAAATCATCGGACTCAACTTGTAGTTTTTGGAGACAGAAGATCGTTCTCATGGCACTGTCACCAATCGTCCGTTCAACACGTTGTTTTCTTTCGGTGCTCTGTTCGTCTGGGAGATGTTGTTTGGTCCGGTGAAGGTCAGTCGGAGGTGGTTGTGGGTGTATCTGCCTCCCTCGGTGGAATTGTATTTTATAGTGAATCTTACTATATATTATGGTTGTTCAAAATCAACTTCTTGCCACATAAGCATTTGGAGCATTCACAAGTTGCCAAGGTTGACAATTTTTTTACAAACAAAAAAGTTAGTTAATGATCTATTTATGGTGTTATCCTCTTTTCTTTAAATGAATTTTTCTTCTTTTCTAAAACTATTCAAGTTTGTTTTTGTATTTGTATTATATCATGTTTGTAGCAATAGACTAATGTTTGCAGAGTGATACATATTGTATTTGTTTAAATAAAAACATCGTATTAAACTTTATCAAGTAAATTTTCTACTCATTTTTACTAAAATTAATAATAAGTTACATTTTATTGAAAATTTTAAACAAACACATACATAAATATAAATATAATTTTATCGATTAAACAAAATATAAGGATGGAAAGAGCGAAAACAATTGTTAGACAATCGAATTTCAAAATTGAACTATATTATTTTATATTTTGCTATTAAACACTCTCTTATAATGTATAACTCTATAAAATAAAACAAGTATTGTATAGCAAAAGGTTGGGATAGAAACTTGATGATGTACAACTATTATATGTCATGTGTGAATATTAGAGAAATTTTTGTTGACGATGTGCGATAAATATTATTTTTCATCATCCACTGACCTAGAATTGATCAAAGTGTCAAAACAAATATGTTTTGAGTTTGTAATAGTAAGCAATATGTATTTAGATCGAGTTATCGTAGCCACAAAATTTTGTTTTCATATTCCACTGAACGGGTGAGTTCAAAGCTCTTAATTACTACTCAGTGTTAAAGGTAAAGTAAACTCTTAATTACTACTACGTGAAATGTCACAATGTTTGTATGAGTTTTAAAATTTCATAAAAAATATATTTTTCAAAATATAATAATTTAGTTAGTTGTTCAAATAATACGACATTTTTAATGCACATAAAGTTATGTGCATTGTAGACATGCTTTATCAATTATTAAGATATATAATATATTTTTTGTTACAGAATTAACACAAAAAATAAGGAAACTTTTGCAAATGCACATTAAAAAGTTGAAAAATTATACACTAAAAGTCCATGTTAAGAAGAGAACCCTTGATAGTGTGTGAGAATTTCTTGGTTTGAGATTCTAAGCAAACATATAGACGACAACAATTGGTTGAGGATTAATCCAAACTTCAAGAATTAGCAAGGGATACATATTGAGTAAATAACTTTAATAGCTAAACCTTTAAATTTTTTTAAATTATTAGCCAAACCTTTCAAAATACAAAAGATTGGCCAAATAGTTTGTATCACATCAAAATATTAACAATTTGTTTGTTATCGTTAAAAATTTTGTAACTTTTTTTAATTAAAATACTAAATTGGCATATAGACTGTTACGTGTCTCTTCTAACTCATCATCATGTTGTTACTAACAAAATGCTAACGATGAGTTAACGTTTGGCTAATATTTTGTATTTTGAAAAGTTTGGCTGATAATTTGAAAAGTTTGAAAGATTTGGATAATAAAATTTATTTACTCTATTATATAAGATACTAAATTTGAGTCTCTTGATAGACAAATTTTAACATAAGATCGTTTGCCGAGACTTCATGAACATTCACATAAAAATAAGGCAAGATTAGAGAAGTTGATCATCTTAAGGGTTACAGTGTCTATCAAGTTTCACTTGGATAAACACAATTTATCCAGTAATCAAGTATATTTATCTAATAATCTGAACTCTTGATAATTGGTTAAGAGTTTCGTCCTAGCTCGAGAATCATGAACTGCTATATGCGTAATAAGATAATAAATTTGAGCACTTTGATTGACAAATCTTTGTATACTATTATAAATGAGACATGATAAACCTTCACAATATGATTTATGATTAGCGAATCGAAACATCATAGATGAGCTTGCTAAGTTGAGAATTGTTAATATAGACATATCACATGCTTACTTATGAAGTGAGAGCATAAAATTTAGATGATTAAAAAGGTTTTAAACATATAGATAAATTAATTGATATAAATGATAAAATAAAATTCTTCGGCCAACAGGCCGAGTAAAATATTAAAGCGCTTTGAGAATACACCCTGTACACGTAAGCCTTGAAGGCTTCCCCGTCATTTTCGGAATTATACGTTTATTTCTTCAATTTTTTCGTTTTTGGTGGCAGGATTAACCGCTTCTTTTAAGAAACCATAAACAACCAAGTAACCAACCCGATTTATAAGCATGTTGTTAGATTTATCTTCCATGTATTTTTTTCCGGTAATTATTCTACATAGTTTTTCCTTTAAATGTCGTGTACTAATTTACATATTATGTTCTCTTATTTCCTAACCCTTATTAGGTTAATTAACAAAGTTTGAAGCCTTTTTCCGTGTTCCACAAAAAAAGTCTCATGCCTTTTTGCCACACCAAATATTGAAATGTACATTTCATAAATAATTAGTTGCAATGTTTTTCCTTTAACATATGATTTTTAATATTTTCATAGATAAACTTTACGTTAAAATGAGACTTCATAACTCATAATTTCAATTTGAAAATATTGCTTATCTAGCTTTCCTAAGACATTAGTCAATCATTTCGTGTTCGGTTCGTGGGTTGGAGTATCAATATGGTAGTCTATTCAGTAGTTAGGAAGGCCCTTTCTTTGTCTCCGGATGCGTGTCGACTATATGACTTTCGTGCCTGGTTTGGGTCAAAGGTGTAATCCGTGATTTTTTACCAATCAATATGATTATCTTTTGTTAAAAAAAATAATTTTTTTCCTAAAGACCATAACTATTTTGTGAAATATATATAATTTTATAATAAAATGGAGAAATAATTAAAATAAATTAATTATTATAAAATGAATGATAAAAGAACGTCACTTGCCCGTCCAACGGACGGGTTCAAAGCTAGTTATCTTTATAAAGAACATTTTATTAGGGGCTATTCATCATGAGTCCACCCAAAATATGTTCAATTGTTCAAAACTTACTATAGTTAGAAGCATTCACTTCTAAGAACTATATGTTTTTAACACATTCATAATTAAGAAAGGTACTATGGTGTTGGTATATTTGAAATGATGTCGGATAAGGCTGAAAATTTTGATGTAGCCCATTTTACCTCATTTATTTGACTTGTTTTGAAGTTGATAATACCCACCTCTAAGCTAGATGAGACGGATGAGTATTCTCATCAATCTAACCCATTATGATATCCCCAATTCTCGTCCCATTTGTCTAAATTATATATAAATGTAAGGTAATGACTGGTAACCTCG